TATTGCCTCGATTTAGTACGAGATGTAAAGAACCAATGTCATGGATCGTAGAAGTTAACGCTTGGTTTATAAAAACAAGACGAAATCGTTGGAGATTTTGGTAAGAAAATAAATCATAAATTTATTAGCCAAAGGCTAGCTTACGCTTATTAACATCTTGTGTTTGATTCGCTAAATCGCACGTACAAAGCAATATATAAGTAAATAAAAACCAAGTTGCCAAATCAATCATTAAACAATCGCGCGATAGTAAACAATTAATCGATCAAATAAATCAAATATTTGCAAAATGACATATAACACATCCGATATTGTTTTAATCGCAATTTTTATCGCTATAATCGGGATTCGCGAATTATACACTCGGGGGGTCTTAACAATGGAGATGCTTTATTCCGTTATCTCCGAAAATACAATATTCTATGTAATTATCGCCGTAGTATTTATTTATCTACGAAAATATGTATCTCCAACTCCGCCTCCCATCCCAACCCCAATTCCAACTCCAATTTCCACTACGTTGGATGCGGATATAAAGAATTAAAACGGGATATGTTGGCTTTAAAAAATGATCATGTAAAAATAGAAAAAGATTTGGAATGGAGAAGTGAAGTTCGAAGTAGAGGTTTGTGGAACAGTTGCAAATTCACTTGTTCATGGTTTAATGAGCTAGCATGATTTTGCTGAAAGCCGTCTCAAGGTGGTTATATTTTACTAATCCACATTATTCCATATCTAGGGCAAACATCTATAACAAGTCTCAGGTCCGAATATTCTACTGAAATCGAAACTCTCTGGGTTGAATTTACTGCCCTATTCAATGAAAGAAGAAAAAGGGAGAAATGTTCACCCCCGAAAATGTATAATGTTTTACCTTTAGAAATTGGTCTCAGTTTGGCTACACTTGCCACCTTTTACCGTCATCAAAAATCTCTACTAACAACTTTATTAGATAAAATTGAGTCTTGAATTGAAAAAGAAAACCAGAACAAAGATAATTCCATTATAATTAGCAGTAGTAGCAATAGAAATAATTTTTCGAATAGCAGTAATATAATTTTAGATGATAGCAATAACAATGATAACGATAGCTAGTGTGGGTAGGGAAAGGAACTGCCATCTTTACTATGTAAAAGGCTTAGGATCCTGAGCAGGCATAGATAACATGCTTTATTCCTCCCTCTTTGCCCCGCTCACACTTCTATCCATTCAATGAGGCTTTGTCTCTATTCTTTGTTGACAAAATAATATTTGTAATAATGTATAATATACGATACGTATAATAAAGTTATAATTTACTCGAATTTTATATTGTATATAAATTCACGTGTTTCCGAAGAAACGATGTAGCACAAGATTTAATACCTATTATATTAGGATTAATAATCATAATTGGATATACGCGACTTTCTCTTCTCGTATAGTATCTTCATTACGCGTATATTAACCACCAGTTAAGTAATTGTATGCTTTTATGGAATTAATTTTTGCATACACAATATCCTACGGCACATATGGCCATAATCGTGTGGGTTATCCACTAGTACAGTCCCATATGGTCGATGCTTGGGGGAGATTGTCATATACGCCCATTAGGAGGTCATCCCTGCCTAGTGCCCTAGTGTGCTGATCTCTTTCCAGTATATTGGATTTAATAGGTTGACTACGGCACATATGGCCATAATCGTGTGGATTATCCACTAGTACAGTCCCATATGGTCGATGCTTGGGGGAGATTGTCATATACGCCCACTAGGAGGTCATCCCTACCTAGTGCCCTAGTGTGCTGATCTTTTCCCAGAGACCTATTTTATCAATGCAACATATACACTACCCAATTTATATTATTGAATATTGTTACTTATATATTTGATTATTGTTTTCCAGGAATGGATTTATCAGAAGGAATCTCGCTTTTTTTCGAACAAACTCCATTTAAAAACTGGTTTCCCACCAAATGCCTAGAATATTTGGAAAATAAATCCTTAGATTTTAGAACGTCTGACAAAGAATTAGTTCAAACCGAATTCAAGAGTCATGTCCATTCATTAATGACTCATCAAGCAGTAACGAAATCCGCACAAAAAAAAGCTAAAAGACTTTTGGATGAAGCGGATCGGATGTTTGAATCCGAAGAAGTTATAGCGATTTTTAAAAGAATGGACACGAAGGTAAATTACTTTTATTAGTGATTACTCCTTTTCATTATCTAACATAAAACCGTTGATTCTACAGGCGATTGAAAAAAGTAAAAGGCAGTTATTATTTGTAAAAAAATCACTGTTCGATACGGAAGTTCAGCTTACTGTTGAAGACCACAAAATACATACTGCATCATCTTCGGTAATTAACTGAATTCATTATGCATTGCATTTGATATTATCTATAAATTTTGATTTTAACACATTTACAGAAATTACATACTTTAGGAACAGAAATCCCAGGTAAAGCTTCCAAACGGAAACGTGAAATAGAAGATGATCAAATTGTAGTGGTAAGTACGCGTATTCTTCTTGTAGATGCATCGTTTTTGATATATCTATTATTTATAATTTTGTTCCTAATGAACCGCAATTTTAATTCTTAGGATGGTGATGAAAATCGGGCCAAGAAAACCGGAAGTGGAAGGGATATTCCAAGCTATCGTAAATTTTTGGGCAAAACATCAGTTTCGGATATCATATTCAAAGGGAATGAAGAAGAAAATGTTATTCAATATAATGAGGTTAGTAATAGTTTAGTGATGCATTTCAAACAAACGCGTTATAACTCTACTATTTTTTCGAAAAAAAAAGCAACAGCCTGAAAATGTGTACGATATAGAATCGAAATGCAGAAGCCCAACTTCACAGTCAGATAACGATTCCGGCGATCATGAAGAGTATCAAGATTATGAAAAAAATGTATCCGATTATGAAGAGTGCTTCGAAGAAGAAATTCCATCTGACATGGTTGGTATACTAACATCTGTGTTACTTATGTCATTTAATGCTCACCTAATATCATCATTTCTAACTTAGGCTTCAGCTGATACCATTGGAAGTTGGATTTTGTCGAGTGGTAAGGATGTTGGCGAAGAACTATCCAAATACCGTGAAAATATTCCTCGCACAAAAGCATATCTTTAGTAAGTTATACTTGATTTGTAAGCATAAACATATTTTCCAGTGCTGACTTCCTGACTTTGATATTGTTATTTACAGTCCCGCTTATTTCGGTATATTGGATCTTTCCGGTGAGGATACAGAAGTAAAGAAATTGTTTACAGATGACGAATGGAATGAGATGATCAAGGATTTTAATAATAATGTAAAATTAAGTGATATGGAAGACGAACAAGAGAGGCCCTTCTATGAGCTGATGGACAAAATTTCCGAGGTTAGCGAATTTGTAGTATTACCTTTCATTTAATGTATCGACTAATTAAACCATTCTCTGTCCCATATGTTAGGTATTGATGAATAAACCTTCTGATCTAATTACCGGCATTGAAAGCTGTGCGATTGAAGTACGTATATCACTTGTATTCGTTTCTTATGGAAGCGCAGGTCTAATGATTGTCATTTATAGGACAATATAAAAGTAAATGCAATCAGACGACTCATTCAGACATAGTAAGTGTTTTTTTGCCTATTCATAGTATTAGGACCTGATAGTCATAATATTTAACAATTTTAAATTAAATAGTGCATACAACCTTCAACGCTTGCAATTGCCAATGTCTGAAGTTGCCTTTGGAAGTAATTTCACGAATGCAATTACAAAAGGAATATTGACCTTTGATCGAACCTATCATTATGAAGAGTAGGTTTTTACTTGATATTTATTGTTTATGTATTTTCCAATTCCGTTCATATACTATTAATTGTAATACGCAGAGGTGAGATCCAAGGACTTGCTTCATCAGTAATCACCAACATGAAATCCAAGCCTACCGATAGAAGTTTAATTGGTCAGAAAGTAGACTTCAGAGTTAGCAAAGATCAATTTGAAGTGTTGATTGGATTAAGATCCGGTGGCCTTCCCACATCACCGAAAGGCAAGAAATGGATGGATAAGGTGGATCTATCGGTCGCGTTACGGGACGTGTTGGTAAACGAAGGAATAGAAAATAACGGCGTAAAACCAGAAAAATTCCACAAACTTTTTACCTTAGGAGTACACACATTTAGTAAGTTAAATGTTCTTAATTATCTTCGGTATGTTCTTAATATATAACCCGACCTATTGATTTTAGATTATAATTATAACATATACGGATTGGATTGGAAAACAAGAGGTGTTTGGCGTATAGGTTTGCTTCAAAAAGTTAAGCTACCTTTATCAACTGAAAATTTGCAAATTATAGAGAAACTTATTATATCTTTGATGCGTATTGAGGTAAAGTATCGTTATTTACTCAGTAATTACATTTTATGTTTGTAAATCTCTAATCATCCTTCGTTTTTGATATAGGAAACTTTGCATCGTATACGAAAAATCCGGAATGAAATATTAACCGAAAAGGCAAAATTATATCGTTTCCGACGAACATCAACATGTGCCATGGACTATTCAATTTGTGAACACGGTCGCATAACTCGTACAAGAAAGGCCAAAGAATAATTTGATTTATGAATTTTGTCATGTAATTTATACACCATTCAATGGCTTTTATATGTATATAAAGATTTAATACACTCATGTAACATAAAATCCATTTACGTGAAAATGAAATATGGTGCAATCACTGAAATTTTTATCATGATTTCCAATTTGAGCATAATAAACAATACGTGGGGTATACATTATATGCGTCTCATTCATCTAATTTCAATGGCGTGTCCCATCCCAATCTAATTGCGAGAGAATCACCCACCGGTTTAGTAAAATCAAAGACCACGAAATCTCGATCCCGCAAATGCTTATCAATAATCTTAGATGCTTTTTTTGGATCATCTGCGTATTGACGTACAATTCGAATGAGATCTTCTCTGCTTCCCCCATTATTAAAGATTGCAAGATGTGTCAGATTCTCGCGAATTATCTTTGGTACAGCTTGATATTTCTGGCTTACGTATATTGGGCTTATGTTTGAATGCCGACCACTAATAAAATAATGAATAATCCGATCTTGAATCTTTTTTGATTCGGCACATAGATCCTCGAAAACAGTAACTGTGCTCCTTTCTGGTGAGAATTTAGTTATATCAGGGATCTTACCTGGTGCTATTGTTTTAAATGTGACATCTTCTTTATAAGGTTTTGGTCCATTTGCAAAAATCTGATAGCTATTTTGTACCAGTTGCCATTTTGGCTCAAAATGCTTTCCTATTAATACCAGATCGTTATTTTTGACATATCGCTCACCTTTTTTCCCCTTGAACATGCGCTGTAGCTTATTACCAAGCATAAGATTAATAACCATATTTGTTTTTCCACTATGAGAGCCTCCACAAACTAGTAATCTGAATGGCCACTCAGGTGCATATCTGTTACCCTTCATTCGTGCTAGAGATTCTTTAGGTGTCTCATCGATATTATATACATAAATGGGCATACCCTCTTTCATATCGATCAAGTTAAGTAATATTAATAATTATATCGAAAAAATAATGATCAATCTACAAAAGCATTTAAAGTTTACCTTTATTCTATAAGATCCAGTTCTCGAAGGATATCAGGAATTACTTTATATGGGTCTTCATAATACCAAACATATCTTAACACGATCCAATTCTCTTCACAGAGTTCCTTTTTAATTTGATCTAGACGTTGTTGATTGGTAAAATTTTTTATATCTTCTCCGTGAAAGAATTTGATATATTTTTCATGCTGTTGACCTTGCACTTCAATCGCGAAACCATAATGATAATAAGGAATATCAAGTTGCAGTCCTGTAGGATATTCTGATGTTTTTAGGAAATCAGGTTTGCGATTTTTTGATGGTTTTCCTAAATATTTTGATACGATTTCACGACATAGATTCTCACGTTTAAAACGTGAACATAGTGAACACCAATGCCCTCTTAGAATACTTTGCGGAGGGGCTTCCCATATATGAGATTTTTCACAACGCCAAAGAAGCTTTGTATGTGCATCGTAATATCGTTCTGAAAGACAATCTCCATTATTTTTTTGTGCTAGAATTTTCATATCAAAAATCGTTCGATTTCGTCCACCACAAGTAGGACACCATTGGTAGTAATCCTTTATCTTATTTAAATTCGTAGTCCATGTATGCCCCTTATCACATTTCCATTGTAAAGGAGCTTTATTATTTATATAATCTGAAGAAATGCATTCCCCATTCCTAGTACGTGCCAAAGCCTTTGCTGTCTCGATACTATGATGATTACATTCAGGACACCATGTATTTTTATTTTTTACATGGTCAAGACTTGCGAACCATTCATGACCTACAGCACATTGCCATAATAAAGCCTGACGGCAATTGATATATTTTTCGGAAAGACACTTACCATTTTTCACAGTCGCAATTTGATTAGCTTCTTCAAGAGTGAGCTGTTTATTACCTGCGCATTCTGGGCACCATGTATTAAGATGTTTTATACCATGTAGTTTTGCAGACCACTGGTGACCTTTATTACATTTCCAGACTAAAGGGGTATAACTGTTAATATATTCTCGAGAAAGGCATTCACCACCCTTATTGATAGCGATTTGTTTAATGTCTTCAAGAGTATACCTGTGACCCACACAATAAGGACACCATGAATTAAGATTTTTAATACTATGAAATCTTGCATACCATTCATGCCCTTTAGAACAACGCCATAACAAAATTGATTTACTATTATCAAATTTCTCAGAAAGACATTTTCCATCCCTACTATTAGCAATCTGTTTAGCATCCTCAAGCGTAAGACGATGATTGTATATGCATCGCGGGCACCATGTGCCACTGTTTTTTATGCTAGCAAAGGAAGAAGACCATTCATGGCCTATAGCACAGCGCCATAATAATGGTGAATTGCTATTGATATACTTTTCAGAAAGACAGTCACCATTTCTATCATGTGCAATTTGTTTGGCCTCTTCGATTGAACGACGGCAATTGGGTGCACACTGTGGACACCATGAGTTTTTACGTTTTATATTAGCAAGACGAGCAAACCATTCATGACCTACAACACAGCGCCATAATAAAGGTGAATGATAATTAATATACTTATCTGAAAGGCATAATCCTCCTCGCTCTATAGCAATATTGCAAGCAACTTCTAAGGATAATTTTGGAGACATTCAGAACCGGTAATTAGTTTTTCTTCTTTAATAAGTATAATTTTCTCTTTAAAATGAGGTGATGTCCGATCAAAACCAAATCATCATTCTTAATATAGCGTGTTCCACCCTTTTTACCACTAAACATTCGAAACATCTTATCCCCAAGTAAAAGACTGATAATCATGTTTGTTTTTCCTGATCTCGTTCGCCTACTAACTAGGCAATTGAAAGGCCACTGAGGCACGCTATTTAATCCGTTGAATTTTTCCAGATTTTTGTATTCGTCGATATTAAGTACGAATATTTCACATGGATCAAGTTTTTCTATTGCAGAGCAATGAGTCTTTGACTCTACTTTCATTCTGAATAACCTAAGAATATTAATCTATTATATCAAAAAATAATAATCCAGTTAGCTCCGTTATAATGATATACCTGACTCACTATTCGTATCTGAATACCAACCGATAATATTAAGAGTGGGATTTTTATTCCGCAAGGTTATAATTGCATTCACGCCGATTCTCTCGCATTCCTCAATACCAAGCTTCTGGAGATTGCATAAATTTGCCAATGCGGACATAGATACATCAGTAATATTGCAACCTTCAAGATAAAGCTGTTCAAGTTTTGTGCACAATCGTGCTATAACGCAAATAGACTCGTCAGATACAAGATGGCAGTATGCAAAGTTGAGATATTTAAGATTTGAGTTAGATTGCGCAATTTTTTTAACCGATATATCACTAACCTTTACACAGTAGTCCAATTCATATTTTTGCATATTCGGACATGCTGAAGCAATTACACATATACCTTCATCAGTTATTTTTTGGAAATCGATTAAACTTAGAGTGTGGAGTTCTGAGCACGATTTAGCAATCTGTTTTAATGATGTATCAGTAATAGTGCTCCCCCATAAACCAAGATATTCTAAATATGGGCAGTTTTGTGCAATCTCGATTATAGATGCATCAGTAATATTCCCATTATAATCCAATTTCAGACGATATAAATTAATACATGATTGCGCAACTGCTCTCAATGATATATCAGTTATCTCAGAAGTGCTAAGCCTTAGGTATCGTAGATTTGGGCTCGAATGAGCGATTTTACATAAAGTTGTATCTTTCATATCCCGGTATTTGGCAAAGCATTTTACATTTTTTATATTGTATGATACGTTAAGAGATTCCAAATGGTGAATTTGCGCGATTTTACTAATGACCCTATTGGATAAACCACAACACCTTTTGATCTTTAAATGACGTAAATTAGGGCAGAATCGAGCGATCTTATATAGCATACCACTAGAGACCCTACAACTAGAGATATGAAGTTGAAGTAAATATGAAGCATGAGGTTTTTGATCCCCACACATTACCTTTTTGAATTCATCCCATTGTATACACGAATTTTTTAGATCACCGGCAAATTCGGCTCTTTTCCATAATATAGGAGCAGAGCATAAATACCATAACTGGTTAACAAATAAGCTTGGATATAGTGCTCCATCTATGGTGAGGTAATAAAATATTTCAGTTAAAAGTTCAGGCAATGCAAGTGGATGGAGTTTATTATATGCCATAGTTATCTTTGCAAATCTATTCTTTATGCGATAAATAACCCCTCTCTTGTAATATATGCTTAATGTAAGGAAAAAGATCACATGTATAAGGCACTTCAATTAGATCTATACCTTGCTCTTTGCATATATCCCGCTTTTTTTGATCTCTGATTTTTTGCTGTTCCAAGTCTATTCTACCTCGTTTATGAAACATTCGATTAAGAGTAAAATGTTGAACTCCCTGGTATTCATATGCCAATTTTAACTCTTCGTTATACCCATCTAATTGCATCCCATTCAAAAAGTTTGGCCTACATGATGGGAATTTTTTACCTAGCAGATCTTCAAAAATATATCGTGTTGACCTTTCGGTAGTATGCGGACAAACTGGACACCACTCAAATTTCCGCTTCTGGATCTTATAAGGTGCTTCCCACTAATGTTTTCTGTTTTCACAGGACCAGAGATATATATCGAATCCGTTTATTCGCCCAGATTTTCCAAGACACTGTCCGCCACGTTTCTCGGCATATGCAACAGCCTTAGCCATTTTATTAATAACACGAACGGAATTAACAGACCTGGAACGAGTATTTTCTTCCAATATACTCTGGAGCAAATACTGAAGTGTGTCAATATTTACGTGCATAAGTTCCTCAAGTACAAACCCACGTGTAGGTGCGAATTCACCTTCGAGATAGTATAAAATTGGTTCATTCTTCGTCACCACGATTTTGCGAATTTTAAATAAAGTTGGACTCCATATTACATCCGTTGCGCGTCTCTGGTTCTCCATACCTCCTTCCCACTC